GAAACACCCTTCTCTCAGCCCTGCAGCCCACTCAGGAGACGTGTAGGCTCTTTCCTTCGGCTTCACACTCCTGGAACACTTCTAACATTCATCCATTTAACAAAAGTGTGTCACGCATGACCCCATGTTCGGTACCATGACAGATGATGGGCAGAGATGATACTATCAGTGTTGCTTCTCAACCTCAAGCAAGGGAGTGACCAGCCCTAGCAAGTTCTGCTCTGGCCTTTGCCCACAGCTTGCCCCTCACATGAGGCTCTCTGATCTCAGCTCACCAGCTTCATTTTGCTATTGTCAACAGTCCCAAGATCTCTCCCACCATACAGAGGGAACACACTTCATCTAGTTACTTCCTCTGTCTCCCTCAGGTCCCAGGTCAAGCATTGCTTCCTCAGGGAAACCTTCATGCCCCCGCCGCTCCCCCATTTGGGACAGATTCCTCTTTTACATCCCAGTACATCCTTCTGTCCCTTTGTTCAGAACACTGACTCAGTTTCTGATTTTCCACGTATGGGTGTAATTACTTGACTGTCTTTCCACTCTGCCCCGAGCTCTGTGGGTGCAGGGACTGTGACAGTTTTCACTTGTCATTCTGTGCACAGTCCCAGTGTTGGACCTGTCAGGTGGAAGACCCTCAGTAGACTCTGGTGGAGGGAAGGAAGGGAGGGAGAAAGTGTCCTGCAGGAGCCAGTCAGGTAGGGAGAAGAAAACCATGTACACGTTCATACTCGGAGCAGAGTGTAATAGTGGAGTTATACCCTGTGTGTTAACAGAGCACAGAATCCAGCAGCTAGCTTACAGGGGTGTGGATGCAGGTGTGAAGTCATCAGCAAATACTTCTGAAAGTGATGAGTAGGCATTCACTATGCAAATGAGGAAGAAAATGGGATTCTGGTAGAGGGGAGGGCTTATGCAAAGTTGTGAAAGAACAGCTGAGTGAGGTGGGGTGACTGGAGTGAAGGGAGAATGTGGAGAAGGGGCTGGAAAGCCGGGACACAGATAATGCCTATTTCCTGTGGAATTTGAACATGTATGGAAAGAGCCAGAAATGGGTTTTAAGTAGGAAATAATATGATTTGCATTTTAAAAAGACTTATTTTGGCAACTAAAACTCTCACACATGGCTGGTGGAATTATAGCTACTCTGAAAAGCTATTTAGAAGTATCTGATAAAGCAAAACATATACCTATTTTATAAATTGGCAATTCTACTCCTAGATATCTGCCTAAAATTGAACATTTATATCCAAAAAAAAATTACACAGAAATGTTTGTGACAACTTTTTTGTAAGAGCCAAAACTGGAAACAATTCCATTTTCTATCACCTGCTGGTGTACCTAAATGAAAAAATAAATTGTGGTATTTCCATATAATCGGGTGCTCCTCAGCCACATAAAGGAGCAAAAAATACTGATGAACACAGACGCCCAGATGAATCTCCTAGACATTATGTCGAGTCTAAGAATCCAGACACACGTAATCCACATGGTGAGATTACATTTATCTATAGTTAGAAAGCAGCCGAAGCTAATCTCTGGGAATAGAGGTTAGGAAGCCTCTGGGCGTCAGGGGCTTGACTTCAGAGTCATGAGGGACCTTTCTGGGGCAGTGAAAATGTTTCATATCTTGATCGGGGTGGTAGTTCTGTTCAAACATATCCAATTGTACACTTACAATGAGTGTGTTTTATTGTATGTGAATCATGTGTATTCTGAGACCTCTTTGGAAGTAGTTTGGAAAATGCTGGATGACGGATTGAGACTTGACTTGGGGAGATTGTAAAAATGCAGTTGAGAAATTTCAGGGCCACTATTTAAGCAATGGCAGTGGGTTTGGAAAAAAAGGGATGAAATCCTGGGTTGTTGAGGTGACAGAATTGACAAGAATGAAATGTGAACAAGGATGGTTATTGTAGCGTTTTCACAGTGGCCAAAAAAAAAGTCTGAAAACTGCCCTTCAACAGGGGAATTGTTAACTAAGCTATAGAGCATCCTAACTGTGGAATATTATAGAGCCGTTAATTAAAAATGGAGTTTGAGTTTTACTGCTCAACTCAGCAGAAGGACTTCTACAAGAAAAGGGGTGGGTGCCCAGGTTTAACATTGGTGCATGTGCAGTAGGTCCCTCACTGGGGACAACAGCAGTGAGGCAGGTGACGTGTCAGAGCGGGCAAAGAGGAAAAGCAGCCACTGAAAGCATGAACGGTATGATTAGCAATGCACGTAAAGCTATATATGTGCGTGTGTGTTCAGAAATTAGAAAAAATGTAAGTTTTTGTCTATTGAGCAGAAAAAAGATGTCTGCTATACATTGTCGAGTGATAAAATCTCAGAGTTGGTTCTATTTTGTTAAGCGCAGACCTACAGAAGCTACCCTAGCAATGTGGGCACGTGTTCACACAGCTCCGAGCATGGATTCGCACCTGGGTGTTAATGTAGGGATCTCAGGCAAGAGGTGGACGGGTAAAATGGAGGATGGAGAGAAGTGTAGCTGTTTACAAATAGATCTCTGAATTATTTTGTGTGTTGTGGTGGCCATTTGTCTATAATGTATCTATCTATTGCTACAATAGTACTGTATAACAAACTACCCCAAAACCTTGGTGGGCTGAAAACAGACAACAAAATAAACACCAACCTTTTTGTTTAACAGAAGGCTGAACGAAAAGGGGGGAATTGTGTCTGCCAGTGAGGAGGCATTAGTTATTCAATATTCATAAGAAAGTTTACAGCTTTCAAAACACTCCTCTGTAATTCTTCATTATCCTCACCTCTCTGAATTTTAATTTTTGTCTCTGCATCTGTCTCTATCACTAGCCCATGAGTTTGAGTGCTGTGACCATGTCTCATTTATCTTGATAATCTCAATATTTAATATGGTTCCTAGAACATAGAAGGTGCTAATAAATTCTGGAAGAATACATTTTTACAAAACAACAACTTTATTTAGCTCATGAGTCTGTGAGTTAGTCTGGGCACAGCTGGGTGGCTCTTCTCGTCTTGACAGACCTCACAAACACACCTGGGGTGGGAGGGTGGGTGGCTCGCTGTCTGGCTGAGGCGATGGGCCTGCATGTTGCTATGGTGATGTACAAGCGAAAGGACAAGCCCAGTCCTAGGAGTGCTTTTCACGTTTGCTGTCGTATTAGAGTTTTCTACAGAGAAACAGAAGCAATGGGGTACACGTGTGTGTTTCGTAGAGAGGTTTATGTTAAGGAATGGGCTCGTGCTAGAGTGGAAGCTGGGAAGTTCAGACCCAGGAGGGCCAATGGCATCGACTGGAATCTGGAGACAAGACCAGTGCCCAGCTGGCCTGGAAGGTCCAGGAGAGCAAGGCCCTTCATGTTGTAGCCTCGCAGAGCTCATTCCTTGCACGGTGTCTAAAGGGCTCACTTGGAAATACAGCATGTTAAAACACTGTTCCAGGGCGGGTGTTGCTCACCTGGCTCCCCATTTGTTGGGACCTCGATCCTGGCTTCATTGCCTGTTGAGGTTAGGCCACCACGAGACCTGTCTTCCCATGGGGCTTTGTGAAAAGAACAAGAAAGATTGAGACTGACTGACTCTGTATTATGGAATGGGGAACTTGATGGAGCTTACTTTATCACTGACACACAATCCCTAGTACTACAGAGGTTAAGACCCTCTTGTCTAGGTGAGGGGATAAACCATCCCCCGAGTTTCCCTGCCATCATCCCCCCCATTTGGTCCCATGCTCTTGTTTCCCACAAACTGATGTGGAAATGGGGTCTCCTGTATACAGCCCTTCCGATTTTAGAAAGCTCTCCATCTCCTGTATTTCCACCTGCTCTAGGTTCAGGCTTTCCCAAGATTTCCTCGGGTTACCTTTAACCTGAGCTCCCAGTTTTCTCACAGGACTTCAAGGAGCGTCCCCGTGGGCAGGTTTATCCCTGTCCCCTGATATTTTCACACTTGGAGCACATGTTCCTTCTGCAGGAGGAGCGAGTCTACCCTTTGTCCCTCGAGCTCAGCTGCCCTCTGAGAGCAGATCTTTGGGAAGGGAGGCAGGTTCTATTCTGTGGACGTTGTAGGAAAAGCAGTTTTCAGTAGAAGCGACTTACAGAAGGATGGATAGCCCTTGGAATAACCTCCCTGATGCCTTGTACAAAATCACCCAGAACCCAGACCTATTTCTTCTGCCACATTATTAGTCTCCCAGGAGTCTTCCAGATGGTACGGGAGCACTGCTTTCTAGAAAAGCATCTTCTGTTGACCAAATTTTAAAAGGAAATCTTGTACTCAGCCATCAGAATGCTTTGGAATGTCCTCAGAGTCAACAAACTGTGCAATGTAAATTTACAACATAATTACAATAAAAACCGACACTACATGCCAGGCACTGTTCTAAGTGCTTTATGGGCATTAACTCATTTAGTTAGTTTTACTTTTATTCCCATTTTTTAGGTGTTGAAACTGAGGACAGAGGGGTTATGTAACGTACCACTGTGAGGAGGCCAGTGAGGAGGAGCCAGGCCCTGAGCCTCTCCTCACCGAGAGACCCGTCCCGGGAGAGGTCCCAGTGAGCCTGGGAGAGTGCAGAGGCCGAATTGCCAGATGGACATGGAAACAGGACAAGGAAATTGGTGGGAAAACATGAGATTTCTGAGGCAAACCTTATATTTGAGGCCCCTAAAGCTGAAAAATAAAATTACCCTGGTTTTCTTAGGCAGGTGTGGTGGAAAGAGCTGTGGATTAGAGGTCAGATAGATGGCCTAGGGTCCGTCCAACCTGGCTCTTCTGCCATCTTTGCGTGACACAGAAAGGTCACTTTGCCACCCTGAGCCTGTCCCTTCAGCTCTCTGACAGAGAAGTTCTGCCTGTCGTTAACCCCGGGAAACGGTCACAGGAGTGTGTGCGGCATCACTGTGGAAAGTGCCTCGTGGAAGAAAGGACCAGAGACTTCCGTTTTTCGATGATCTCAGGGGGACTTTGGTCTGGCATCTGAGTGGAATAAATGCCTTTCATTCATTTGTTTCTAGGGCACTATATTCGTATGCCCGGTGGAACTCAGACTTGGAAATGCTGACAACAGGCTTCAAAGACAGCTGAGCCCCACGAGACACCAAGAAAGCCCATGGCTCTGGCTGCGTCTCTCAACATGAGCAGCCCACAGTAAGTGCATCGGGAGCTGCTCCCCGTGGGTGCCGAGTGCGAACTCAGCCGGAACTGTGGGTCGGTAGTGCTCCCTCTCCAGGTGCTTTTGTCCTTGAGCCCAACGTCAAAAGGACTTGTTAGAATCTGCTTTTTCTCTGAGTTGCCTCACTAACATCATCTCGTATTTTAGTTCAGAAAAGCAGAGGAATTCTGCAATCCGAAACTGTTGCTTGACCCTCTCATGCGTGTGAGGTCTCGGACTCTCTCCTGTGTGTGGGCTTCACACACAGATGTGTTATTAAATTTGGCTATTTTCTCTTAAACAAACAAACAATCACCTGTTATCAGATCCTCCCAGAAGACAAGGATCTTCTGATTCAGGTAACCACTGTACATACTTTCTTTAGCAGGAGGCCACAGAAAACAGGGAAGCCTTTCAAAAGCAAACCTCAAGACAAGATTAGGAAGTGCTTAAGGTGAATTAATAACAGACATTGCGAGGAAAGTTAGACATCATGACTGGGTTTCTGAAAGCAGGCTTTATGAAGCCAGGGGCAGAACTCTTCAGGGAGAATTGCTTTCCGTTCTCAAACCTGAGAGGCTGTGTGTACCAATCACTTAATCTTACCAAGTGCCAGCAAACTGGTCAGTTGTATCGTGGTTGTAACTTAATGGCAAAAATGCCAAGGTGAGCCCTGGCCGGCATGGCTCAGGGGGTTAGGCGCCATCCCACAAAGTAAAAGGCTGTGGTTTGATTCCTGGTCAGGGCACATGCCTAAGTTGTGGGTTTGGTCCCTGGTTGGGCGCCAGGAGAGGCAAGCAATCAATGTTTCTCACATCAGTGTTGCTCTCCCTCTCTTTCTTCCTCCCTTCCTCTCTCCCTAAAGCCAAATACATAAAAAAATGCCAAGGTGAGAATAACACTCCTGTCCCACTGCTCTGCCCCAGCCTGCCTAGCTAGGGGCTGGCTGCTATCACCTGGAGCAGGTACCCACTATTGCCACAGCAGTGCCACGGGACAACCAACCACAGAACCTCAGTAGAATGCGGCAGGAAGTGCTTGTTTCTTCATGTCTGGGGTGGCCAGCGAGGCAGCTCTGCCCATCCTGGCTGGTCACCCCTAGGTGTGGGCTCTGCTGGCAGTTGGCTTTTCTAGGTGGCACTGGCGTCTACTCCCTGTGGCCCTCATTCTCCCCTGGGTAGGCTGGTCACCTTCTGATGGCTCTATCGCAGGGGCAACAGCATCATCACAAAAATCCACAGGTGCCTTTTCATGCCTCTGCTTGTGTCATGTTTGCTAACATCCTGTGGTCAGAATGAGTCACGTGACTGAACAGAGCCTCACGGACCGGGAAGTGTGCTCTTCCTTTCCATGGGAGGAGCTGCAGGAAAGGGAGGGTGAAGAACTGAGCCATTAGTAAACATTGTCCACCCTCCTGTTCTTACCCCTCATCAGGGTGTTCTCTCAGTAGTCGGCTGTGAACTGTGAGGCCTTGCCTCCCCCGAAAGGAGGCTTCGTCTCCTGCTGAGCTACCCACTGACCTGAAGCAGTGCTGGGCCACCGGGAGCCCTGGCCGGAGGGGACGGAGGGCAGCAAAGTCGGGAGGGCAGACGTGGCCTGTTCCATGCTTCTCAGAGCCAAGTATTGTTAGTCTCCGGAATTCCCCAGCCGTGCAGAAGAACCCCTGGACCAGACAACTCTGTTCAGTCCACGGTCCCTAGTTTCCGTGAGCAGTCCCGAAGGAAAGAAGAGCTTCCACCCAGCATCCCCCACATAAATGTCCGCACCTTTATTTCAGTTGTTGAGAAACACCAAAGCCTCACACCCTGTTCCTGTTCCGTCTGAAGTCGTTTGGTAGATGCTGAGCCGAGAGTGTGCGTCCTGTGCTTCACAGGCTGCGGGAGGCAGAGGTGCAGACGGGGCTGCAAAGAACACTGGGCATCGGAAATTACTTGCTGAATCTGGGTAGTTTGGGCAGCTAACCTGTGGTGTTCAGATAAAAATTCCACTTTTCCCTCAGTTACCTGGATGATTCAAGCAGACAAGAAGGAGGTGGATTTAGCTCTGAACTTCCTGGGTAACTGCCACTGAGTATTATTGGTTATATTTCAACAGTGGTTAGGGAAAAAAAAAAGTTAGAATTCAGAGCTCCCTATCCAAGCGGAGGACTTGTCGTTCTGATGCGCCCTCCCTCCTTCCCTTGGGGAATGAGACGTGGTTGCCGTGGGGGCTGACTGCCCGTTCCCCCTCCACCGCCAGGCCTGCCCCAGGAGGAGGAATTTCCGAGGTGGAGATCATCTCCCAACAAGTGGACGAGGAAACCAAGAGCATTGCTCCTGGGCAGCTGGTGAACTTTGCCTATCGGGACTTGCCCCTGGCCGCAGTCGACCTCTCCTCCGCGGGCTCGCAGCTGCTGTCAAATCTGGACGAAGACTACCAAAGAGAAGGGTAGGTGCCCGGCCGTCTCTTGCATAACCCCCTGGGTCTCCATGGGGATCGGGACAGACAGGGGTCAGGGATGCTGAGCAGGGAGAGGCCAGATGTTCCTGTCAGGCCACCCAGGCCCCTTTCTCCTCAGGCGCTGTTGCCTCAGCAAAGGCTGTGGGCTTGGGCCTTACCTGCCATTGCGGGACCCAGCCTCTTCTGTAGCACTGGCTTGGGCGTCAGAGTCATACCATTTCAGGACTGACATGCTTCGTGGTGGCCCATCCGACCCCTCTCTGCGCAGTGCTACAAGAGAGGCCGGGATCTACCAGGAGACCCACCGGGATCGGAGACCTGCCCAAGGTCACAGAGCCCAGAAGGGATGGACCTGGCCTGCACTGCCCTTGGTGCCCTTGGTCAGCCAACGCTCACCAGGGGAGAGGCCGGCAGAGAGCGCCCTGCTCCAGGTGCGGTGCTGAGCCTGGTTGGGGTGTAGCAGCACTCATCCGGGAGCTTTGCTGCCCGCTTTGCATAGGATGACTCAAAGGTGTGGCCCCTACCTCCTCCGTAGCTTGTCTGTCAGCCTGGGTGCCTTTGTTCCCCAGTTAGCATCTCGTTAGCCTGGTCTGTCTCATAAACATCGTTCCCGAAGGTGAACAGTTGAGTTAGAGCTGGTTTGAGGACCAGAGCAGAGCCCCAGGGTCACCCAGCAGGTCAGACGCCCCCCGCCCCCGCCCCACCCTCCACTGCTCCACGGCACAGACATGGAAACACCGGCCAGGAGCTTTGAGCCACTTCTGGGCCACTGTCTCCCTCAGGTGCCTGCAAATGTTTCGGAACACGCTGGCTGCTTTGACTACGGAAATGAAGGGTTGCTGGGTTATTTCAGAAGCTGGTGAGAAATGTTGTCTCGAGATGAATTTTCAGAGCTTGGATCCCCTGTGCTTGTTTTCCAAAAGGGCTCCCACTTTGCTGAGAGAAATTGCCTAACAGTGGTGAAACCATAAACCTTTTGCAAAAACTTCAACCAGTGGCTCTCTCTGAAAATATAATTTTCTCCGAGTGCTGTGCATAGATTCGGCAGGACACTGTGGGGAGAGGACAGGCACGTGGAGGTGAGATAGCTGAGGGATGGACGCCAGGTGGTGGTGGCCACCGAGTGGGTCGTCTCGGCGCCCGGGTCTCCGCTGGCTCTAAGGCTGGGCTGAGGCCCTCGAGGCCCCTGAGCCAGGGCCGGCTTCGTGTACGCGCGGCCTGTGCAGTCACTCGGTTTCTGCGCTGCCGCGCCTGGAAACTCTGCACTAGGAGCCCAGCGTTTCCACTGAGCTCCACAAATTATGTGGCAGGTGTGTCCCTCCCCGAGCACCAGGTGCCACGTTGCTGCCCTCTGGTGGCCTAAAGCAGCAGTGCAGCTTCGTAACTCCCCGGCTGGTCCAAGTTTCTCAGGGCCAGAAGCCTGGAGCCCCCTCCTAGTTGGAACAGGAGAAGGAACAGAGCACCCGGAGGCCCAGCCTTACTGCCGCGTTTCCTTCTGAACTGGGCCTCTGCAGAGTCTCCCCCATCAGGGAGGATGCAAATGAGGCGCCCACAGGGCAGAGAGGCCCTTGATGTGATTTGAGTGCCCAGGTGTTCCCTGGAAGCTGCTCCTGTGGGGCGACAGGAGGCAGCGGGTGAAGGGATTTGTCACTGCCGCCTGTGCTCCCTGTGGGGCTCCTGGCAGCCAGGGGCTTCCTGAAGAAGGAAGGAAGAGCAGGCTCAGGACAGACGCCAGGGAAAAAGGAAGCAAAACAAAAGCACATTGTTGGGGGGCAGGGGGGCTGGCTCTCTCTCCCTGAGGCTTTTTGGCTCTTGCTGCATTTCCTGGGGTTCTCCCAAAATTTCCCACCTGGCCCTTTCTGAAGCAATGCACAGCAACAGTGTTTACAGTTCTGGTGGAAGTCTTGTCAGACAATCTGTTCCTACGCAGGGGAGTGTTATGTACGGGCCCGGATCTTCTCTGCGGGAAACCAAGGGATCTCGGGGACCCAGCACCCCGCCATTCGCTTCCCTTGAGCTCAGTGATATACTTCAGTGTTTTTAAGTTTCCCAGACTCTGAGAACGTTAGAGCTAGAAAACACCCAGACGGTATTTATTTTCCATATATTTCTTAAAGATTTTATTTATTTATTTTTAGAGAGGGGAAGGGAGAAAGAGAGGGTGAAACATCAATATGTGGTTGCCTGTCATGCACCCCCTACCGGGGACCTGGCCCACAACCCAGGCATGTGCCCTGACTGGGAGTCGAACTGGCGACTCTTTGGTTCGCAGGTCAGCTCTCAATCCACTGAGCCACACCAGGCAGGGCCTATTCTGCATATTCTAAGAGGACAGCAGAGTCCAGAGTATGGAAACACTTGTGCAAGGCCACACAGCGGCCGACACAGCCCCATCTCTGGCTCCTGGTCCAGGCCAGCACCACGGGCCTCCGTGTGTCATCTGTCCCTTTCCAGCATCACACGTTGTGACTCTGGTTGTCATCATTGGCCATGTGATGCCACCGCATGGCTGTACTGTCACATGCCTGTCCCCACTCTGCTGAGGGAGGCAGGGCAGGACAAGGGTCAGGTGGCAGCTCTGCAGCCGTGTAGAGAGGGTGCTCCAGAGGGTGGTGGAGAGCAGGCAGGAGACTCTTTGTCACAAATAGGAAAGTAAAGGAAGGCAGGAAAGACATTCAGCCTCTTGTAGTTATTTATACTTTAGGGTCCTAAAAGGCCTAACCTGACAGGTCAGAGGCCAGACCCCCAGGGGGTAGGTGCCTGGAGGGAGGCTGTGTAGACAGAAAGGGGTGTTGTCACTTGCAGTGATGCCAGCGGACATTTTGGCTGGGGCTTCACAGTCAGAAGAAGAATTCATGCTGGGGCACGGGGATGGCTATGAGCTGTCACTTGGAAAACAGGTCCAGTGTAGCAGCATCTGCAGTAAAGACTGAGGTAATTTCAGCGGTGCTGGCAACCAAACCTGGAGGCAGAAGGCGGGGAGCGGAGGAGCCTATTAAGCTGGAGTCCAGATCACACTCCGCACTCCCTGTGTACTCGCTCAAGGACCCGCTCCTGCAGAAAGTCTTCTGTCCCCCACGCCACCCAGGCTGGGGCCTGCCTCTGCCATGGCATTTGTGATGCTGGGCTGTCTGGTCTGCTCTCGAGTCTGTCCCCCTACCCTGGCCTGGGGTCCCTTAGGGCAGACATCAGCTCTTTCGAGCTTGGAGCAGAGCAGGTGTTGAGGAAGGAAGGAGAGACTTGAATGAGTAAGTGACTGGGTGCGTGAGGCCGTCTAAGATAAGGAACAGGAGAGAAGGGAGCCAGTTCCGTTGGGGAAAGCTGGGGACGGGCCCCAGGTGCATGTGGGGTGGAGGAAGAACCACAGGGAGGGACCAGGGTCTGGACCAGAACTCAGGCGGTGGTCAGGGCTGGCCCACCTCTGAGCCACTTTCACCCTTCTACAAAGTCATCCTAAAATAAAGAAATCTGATTGGCCTCAGAACATGCCAACCTCGCTTAGTACTTTTTTAGCATCCTTTTAGAAGAATGAAAAGCCTTCTGGGGTTCAGGGTTGAACCCCAAAGTCAGGTTCATCCCTGCAGTGACGAACCTGACTTGCAAGTGCAAAGTCTGGAAGTTCACGGCTCCTGAAATCTTTGTGTACATTATTCTCAGCAAAATAAACCTTGGGTTCCCACCTCCTTGCAGGTACGGGGTGCACAGCCCGAGGACACCACTAGGGGGCAGCAGAGCACCTCTGACTGCTCTGCAGGGTGCTGAGCGCTGCCTGGAGGAGGAAGAGCAATTTAAACCCAAGCTCAGGTCCCCCAAGGAAAGTGAGTTGAATTTATGGGGCTCTGGACCCCCCAGCCAACTGTGAGGGCATCTTGGATCTGGACTTTGGCCCCACAGAAGAAGGGGGTGCATTGCTGACCCAGTATTTGCCAGACGGCAGCTCAGAACAGAGAGCAGGACAGACATGGGTTGTGCCTGAGAACTAGCCCGCCGGCTGGCTCACAGCCCTCTGGGCAGCCCTGCCCACGTGTGTGTGGCACAAAGGAGACGCAGACTGGGGACCAGCTCCCCACATGGAGGACTTGGGGGGAGGGGGGAAGAGTGTCTCACTGGACCCTGCGGCACCCATTTCCTCTCCTGAGTCAGGCTCCAGCCCATGGCAGCCCTTCAGAGACGTGCCAGCACCGCCTCGCGCCCCTCAGGTCGGGCAGCCAGTCCCCGGTGTGTCAGCTTTTGTGCCCCCCAGTAGGGGAATGGGACTTGCCAAGTGGGGTGACAGCTCCTACCTCCTGGCCTGAGCCTGTCGCCAGTTGACATTTCTGAGGATGCAGGAAACCTGAGATTCTGGGACAAGTGAATGTCAGACTCCCGTGACCCCAGCCGCGCAAGGCCTGGCTTCCTCCTCCTCCTCGCCCTCAGCTCCCCCGCACCACCCCCGCACCACCCCACCCCCGCACCACCCCTGGCGTGGGGCTGACCTTCAGCTCTGATCGCAAAACTGAAGCTGCTCATTTAGAGACTTCGCTTTCTTCAGTTCCCGCAAAGGGCTGGGGGAGTCTCCACTCGGTTCCAACCTGAGATTTCCTGTTGTGCCAATCGTGCTGCTGTGCTGACTCTCTGGGCCTGTGTACTGCTGTGGCTTGCCTCTTGGAGTTGATTGGTACAGGGCGAGGAGGATGCTGGACAGGACTTGTCCTGTGGTTGCTGCCCAGCATGGCGCCTGGCACTGAGTGGGCACGTAGTGCTGGCGTGGAGTGCACATTGACACTTCTCGTATGTAGATTATCAGTGCCTTTTCTGAGGCCCATGAACTTACACCCTCACAGTACATACAGAGGGCAGCTGTGCAGTAAGCATTGTGTCACTGGGTTCACACGTTATTTTTAGTATCGTAGAGCAACGACCCTGTGAAGGTTGCTGATGCTCCCGTCGGGGGATTAGGGAGCAGGCTCAGAGATTCCACTCGGAGTTCGGTCTCTGGGGCTACAGTTCGGAGACACCAGTTGCCACCAAAACCCAAACAGATGGAAAAGTCTGGCTCCTCCCCAGGGTCTGTGTCAGCAGATAAAAAAGTGGAAGGAGCTGTCTTTTCACACAACGGCGTGAGTTACCGTTTGTAAAGCAGTTGCAACAGCTCCTGGTTCAGCACCCGTGCCTCGTGAGGGTTGTTAAATCAGGGACAGTGGAGCCCAGGGCAGGGCCAGAGGGCTTTTTTCTCTGACCGTGTTGTGCCCTCTGGAGCAGACACAGTAGAGAATCGTGAAGTGGGGCACGGGACATTCTGCTGACGGCTGAAACCACCACCGGGTCCGGGGTGTCCAGGCCACGTCAGCACCACAGACGTGCAGTGTCTTGGGGACGGGTGGGTCTCAGGATGCAGGGCTTGAACCTGGAGTCCAGGGGTCCCCAGCTGACCCCCCAGCGAGGAGGCTCAGGGGTCCGTACGATCCTTGGAACGTTCACTCAGTGTTGTTGTGGTTTTGTGCATGTTGGGGGGTTCGGGGCTGTCATTTTCATCCCTTTGCAACCCAGAGCTGTTCTGATCCTCTGGTCCAGCAATGCCACCATGGTCAGTGCCAGGCAGATGGGCGAGCCTGGGCCCTGGACTTCACTGCGGACAGACGGCCGACTCACTCTGACCCCTCCCTCTGTCCCTTTCTTCGGGGACTCAACAGTTGAAACTCTCAGTGCAGGGCTGACAGGGCCATCTGACCTGGCTGCCTACTGGGCAGTCATCGGCTTGGCTGTGGCTTGCTCCCTCCCTCAGGCACGAGTGCCTGCAATTTGGGGGGACTTGAGGGTCTCCACAGTCCCCACCCAGCCAGTGCTCTCTCCCCGCAGCCACAGCAGCCGGATGTTGCAGTCCCTTGCTGCAAGGCCAGACCCCAGAGGAGCAAACGCAGCCCCTGCCACAGGCACCTGCGGCTCCACCTCAGAAAGGGCTGGTTCAGCCCCAGGCTTGGGACCACTGCCCAAGAGAATATAAAGCAGAAGCAGACAAGGCTCCTAGCCTTTTCCTGCCCCAGCCAGGGTTCCTCTGGGGCCTCAGCAGGGATTGCTGGGACCTCATGCTAGAACACTGCCGCCTACTGGGAGGGCCATCTGCTCCTTGGCATTTGGGCCTCTGGCCGCCCAAGGCCTCCTGGAGCTGCTCCTCCTGCTGCAGCAGGGCAGGACATTGGGACACGCCTGCCCTCTCGTGGTCATTCTGGGGGAGTGCCAGTGGGAAGCAGGCTCCAGGGCTCGGATGGGCTGGAAGCTGAGCCATGGGAGGAAAGCACCTTGCACAGCTGAAGACTCAGTGCTGATTTCCTTTTGGCCCATGGAGCTCCTTGAGTCGTTATTTAACCACTCAGAGATATTTAGAAACTGGACACGTCCTGTCTTTCTGTTAAAGCACAGTCTCCTAGGAATGTCTGAGCCTTCTGAAGCTCAGAGGACATTTTATTAGCTTTTTGGGATTTTGAAACACCGGGTCAGCCAGAAAGTCTGCTGCTTTGCCCCCCTCTGTCCTGGAGCTTTGGGGCCCACGGTCGTGCTTTCCAAGCTGCTGCAGTGTAACTGAGGCTCAGGAAGTCCTTAGCACCCCGAAACCCACACACTGGCTGCTCAGCATGATACCGTCCTGGAAAATGACCTTCACTGTGGCCCTTTTTATTTTTAACTGCAAGGGTGCTTGGCTGAAGTTCCAGTTGGCACTAAAATGGCACCAGTTTTAGGAGAATGCACTGGGTTCTAGAGGGTGGGAGGTGGGAGCTGGGCCTCCTTTGAGACCTGCAGCGACACCCACATTGGGAGGAGTTAACAGGAAGCGGGAAGGAAGTGAGAGCTGGGTGGCTAGGTGAGAAAGGTGTCAAAGATTAAAATAGGGCCCAGGAAGGGGGGCAGGAGTGTCACTTTGTGGTGAGAGAAGGAGTGGGGTGTAGGTGAGACACACGGTGAATCAGGAGAGCAGGTCAGCTGAGGAGTGACAGAGAAATATTAAACTTCAAAGGGTCTTTCCTTTGGGCACCTCGGCATCTCTGGGCCTCTGTCCCTCGGAGCTGCAGGTCCAGGCTACACGCCCAGTCCTTGTGGCCACTCCTGGACAGACTCACCTGTCACTGTCCACTGGTGGCTTTTGTGGCCTTTCCTTCACAGACATGGCCTCTCACCCTGTGTGCTTAGTGAAACCCTTCCTGGGGCCAGCTTCCTGAGGCTGGGGATCGGTCCCCAGCCTTTGTGCTTTCGCAGAGCTGAGGATGGCGCCTTCCGTTCCCAGGCCCCCTCACAGCCACCCCTTCCCCTGGATCCTGTGTCTCTAACGGGGGTGGATCAAACGCCCAGAGAGACCCCTGTTCGAAATTCTACTCTGTGGCCTCTGGGGTAGGTTGTACTTCACTGGGAAGCGTAGGGCAGGAGGAGTGATGCAGGGGGTTGAGAGCAGGGCCTTGGGTCACCCCCTCTCAGTGCCTGCTCCCCACTCTTGTCCCCGCAGGTCCACCTGGCTGAAGCCGTGCTGTGGGAAGAGAGCAGCCGTGTGGCAGGTATTTTTGCTCAGTGCCAGTCTCAACAGTTTCCTGGTAGCCTGTGTAATATTGGTGGTGATCCTCCTGACTCTGGAACTTCTAATAGATATAAAGCTTCTCCAGTGTGAGTAGCAAGAGGGATACCTACGCAAATACGTACGATGTCGATATTCCATGTGCATCCGTCCGGGGTCCCCAACCAGGGTGTGATCTGCCCCCGCCTGACACCCTGGCCCGACACCCGGCCCCTGGCCCTGGGGATCACCACCAGGGAGGACACCGGGCAGCTGCTCCCATTGTCCCGCATCAGTCCGCCCCTCTTCACCTGCATGGCCACTTCCGGGTCCTCCCCGGCGTTTCGCCATCTGAAACCCGTGAGGTCAGAAGGGTTGGGGCCCCTGTTTTAATTGTTCCCATTTGGAATTTTCCAGGGTAGAATTTTCTGGAGCTTAAAGAGAGTTCCCATTGTGGAGGCGTATCACCTGGTCGTAACTCGTGACAGCAGCCGCAGTGACACTGTGGCTCCTTGTGTTTTTGTCCGTCGTGAGTGGGACGGTGTGAAAAGCACTTCCCTGTAACTGGACCCCAGTGGCTGCCCCGTGAGACAGGCAGGGCTGCGGCTGGCCGTCCTGCTTCACAGGCCGGGCTGGGAGGCCTGGAGGAGCTGGAGGCTGCCCCAGGCGAGGAGCCCTGGGGCTGGGGCTGGGAGCCACCGGGCCAGGTATGGGCGTGGCCAGTTCCCCCGGCAGCACAGGGCCTCGCTGGGTCCGCACTGGCTCTGAGGTTATGGAGGTCTGCTCCTCTGCGGCCTCTTCCGTCCTGGTGGGCACCAGGGCCATGGGTGCCCTGGGGGAGGGCAGCTGAGGCTCTTGTTTTGCATGAGTGAGTGGTTCTGGAGAGTCCTGGGTTCCCATATTCCCCGGTTCAGAAGGCGGGTCATTCAAGTGCAGATGAAGAGATGAGATTCTTGGTCCCCCTCCCGATGTTTCCTTTCCTGCTGTTGGCTGTGCTCAGGACCGCAGATCCAGCCACCCCAAAGCCATCAGGGGTCTGGGACTTGTTTTCTCAGATGCCACCAGGCCCTTGACTAGAGCCTCCGGTTCAGGGCTCCTTCCGAGCCAAGTCCTGAGTCGACCGGCCGTTCTGATGCTGACAGAATGGCAGCAGCACAGGGGGCCTCTGCCTGATCCTCCTCGCTGGGTTCCGCTCACAGAGTCCTCAGGCACAGGGCGGCCAGCACGGGTGTTACATTCAGCCTGGCGTGGGCAAACCGGCAAACCGCGCTGCGTACTCTCCGCCCCACACCCCCACACGGCCACTGGGTGCGAGGTCTGCCCAGAACGGCGTCGTTCTTTCCCTGCGGTGGGACGTGGCCAGGCGCATGGGGTTCTGAGTGTGAGGGGTATTGAGTCCGACTGAGAGCCCAGCCGACCTTGGAATTTTCCTGAAAATTAAATATCCGGGAGATTGGCTTTGGTGGGAGATCCAACAGCAGCTCGTAAAAGGGCATCTTAAATTCCGTGGAACGCACAGTCAGAGATTGATGGCTCCTCTGAAGCAACTGTAAAAAAAAAAAAAAGAGCACAGGAATTTATTTGAGAAGTAACAGGGAGAGAGAGTTCCTGTTTTCAGACTCATGTGGAGGTCCCTTCAGGGCCACACAAGCCTTGGCCTCTCAGTCCCACTGGTGCTCACGTGGCTGAGACAGAAGGAATCCTGGCGTCTCCTGGCTTCATACTGGCCCGATGCCAGGGGACCCGGAGTCCCCCACGGGGAGCCTGGTGTTACAGCCCTCCCTTCCCCGCCTCCTCCACTCCAGACCTGGTTTCTGCCCCCAACTCCCAGTTCCTCAGTCTCAGAGCTTTGGGGAGGCTGTGGGGTCCGGCCTGCCCCAGTCATGGGTCGGGGCATTGTTCCCAGTTTGGTGCCCAGGGGACTCTGAGCCGTATGCTGACCAGGCCACGCTGGAGCCCGCAGGGAAGCCGCACGTGCTCTCAGCAGCGTTCCTGCACCCGGTGTGGCCCCCCCGCCCCAGGAGGTCCTGCCAGCCCCCCACGCTCTGCACCACAGCCCACTTGGCCCTGTCCTGGGCCCTGGCACCCTGCTGTGGGCCCGCCCCCTGAAGAATTGCTCCCTGCTGGGGTGGGAGGCCGACCCGGCTGCTGCAGTTAACAGGCCTCCTGCAGCTGGTGCCTCTGCTGCAGGGTTGCCCAGGGGAAGGTGGACGAGAGCGGTCAGTGCCGATGCGCTGGCCTCTGGAAGGCCAGTGGGCTGCTGGGACGTGTAGCAGACGCAGCCACTTGCTCTGCCACCTGGGAGGCCAGCGTCCCTTGCCCCCTCCCCACCACGCCCTCTGCCTGTCTCTGTCCCGGCCTGTTTTCTGGGACAGCCTGGCCCACACCGCCCCCTCTGCCACTCTGTCTTCAGCATGAGAAGTCGGAGTGGGCCAGCCTCCGCCCCCGACGCCTGTGCATGGCACCCTGGGCAAGACTGTGGTGGGGGTTTCCAGTGGGACCCAGCCCTGCGAGGCCGAAGGGCTGAGCCGGAGCTCTGAGACGTGGCCTGTGGGCCTGCCGTGGGGTGGGCGGGGGTGGGGGGAAGGAGGAAAGGATGGCATCACACCCCACCCATCTCCACCACCTCCTTCGCAGACAGCCCGTGGTGGCCCCTGGCCTGATGTCACCCAGACCTACCTTCCACGCAAGCGGCTGGTCCCAGAGGTGGGCCCGGGCTGGGAAGCCCCTCCCCGTGCGTCCCGGGCCTTGCTGCTGAACTGGACCGTGTCATTGTGTTTGTTGCAGTTTCCAGTGCTTTCCAGTTTGCCGGCGTGATTCACTGGATCAGCCTGGTCATCCTCTCCGTGTTCTTCTCAGAGGTGGGTGCACACGGGGCCCTGCGACCTCCTCGGGTGTGCCCTTGAGGCTGCGGGGAGGGAGGCACAGGACGGGGAGAGAGCACGGTGCGCAGACATTGCCAGGGGTGCAGCCTCCGCCCTGCCAGGGAGCCTGGGCCCTGCAGAGGCCCCTGAGCGGAGTCCCGGCGGATGAACAGCTGTGGTCCCGGTGTGGGCAGGCCGGGACACGGGGAAGGTAGGACTGGCGGGGCGTCACTGAGGGAGGGCGGGGGTTCCTGTGGCCAGTGAGGAGCATGTGGGGTTGGAGGCTGGAGCCAGGGGCCTGGAGGTGGGGAGAGCAGTGAGGGTGCTGTGGCCGCTGCAGCCGCAGTGCTGGGTGCAGCTTGCTGCAGGCCTGTCCCTCAGGGCTGGGAGGATGGAGTCACAGGCCCAGGCGGTGCACTTGACCAGGTGCTGCGGGGCTCGTGGGGTCTGGCTGGCCCAAGCGCCGGGCCACCTCAGTGGGAGCAAAAGGGCAGGTCTCTGGCGTGGGGGATGGGCGGGATGGATGCCCCGCCCTTTCTAGTTGGCAGATAAAGCCCGTGTCTGTGTCTGATGTGTGAGGTGGGAGGGAGAACTCCCGGCACTGGGGGGCACTGGGTTTCGTGGGAGCCAGTCGTCCAGTGGGAATGATGTGGGGGAGCCAGGGTCCCAGCCCAGCAGGGCCGGGGGCCGAAGTGGGGGGTGGAGGGTCCCAAGCAGTCAAGTCCCCGGCCCTGATGGGGCTCCGGCCCCATCTAATGGCTCTCTCTCTCTCTCTCTCTCTCTCTCTCTCTCTCTGTCTCTGTCACTGGGCCGGGGTGTGTGGGGAGGGCAGCGTGTCCTCCTCCGGCCATAGCCCCTGCAGCCCGAGGCATCGGCAGGCGAGCCCGGGCCTGAGGGTCAGACTAGGGGCAGGTCCCAGGCCCGTCCCAGCCAGTTCTCTGAGATCGCTGTCCGGGAGGGGCCTCGGCCTCCAGGACAGTGCCTGCTCCCAGCCTGCCGCCCCGCGAGGGTCCGGCCCTCTGGCCCCTGGCTCCCTCACCGCGGTCCCCGTGGGCCGTGGCTCCATGTCCGGTTGGTGCAGACCTTGGAAACCATGCCACGCGTGCGTCTGTGGCTGCCAGCAGTGGTGCCTGATCGGTTGCCGGGGTTCTTCTGCTCGGGTGGCACTGGGCTTGCAGGGTTCAGCGCCCGGCGTTGACTTGCCATCCGCTGCCTGTCAGGCCGCAGACGAGCCCCCTGACTCCGCCGCGCCCTTTGCAGAGGCGCCTCAGCCCCAGGCCCCAGCCGTTCCCCCACACACCCCCCCAGTCAGGGCCGGGGCTCCCATGGCCGAGCAGGGGGAGCAGGGGGCTGGGAGAAGGATGGCGCCCCGACCTGGGATCCAGTAGGAGCCAGGAGCTGCTGCACCCATGGGTGCTCAACTGCAGCAGAGACGGTCTCCCCTGCCGGGCAAGGACATGACCCAGAGCCTCCTCCGTGGGGGCGGGGCAGGAACCCTAACTCCCTGTCGCTTGCTCTCCTCAGACTGTTCTCCGGATTGTGGTGCTTGGGGTCTGGGATTACATCGAGAACAAAATAGAGGTAAGGACCAACACCCACCTCCCCACACCACCCACGCTGGGTGCTGGGATGTGGCCGGCCCCCGAGCCTGGGCCTGGAGCCAGGGAAAAAGGCCGCCCCTCCCCGCACGTAGGCAGGGGTCCCCGGTGCAGGGTGCGGGGGGAGGGAAGACTGAGGACATCCCCGGTAAAGGGATGTCTGAACAGTCTGGTGAGGTGCTGCAGAATTCTCATGTATCCTTGGATCCTTTTGGAAAGCTTTCGAAATGTGTTGGAAACAAATGCGTGTGCTCTGAAATGCCCTGTGTGTGGAGGGTGGCGGGAGCTGAGCTGCCTGGGGCTTTCTGAGCTGGTTTCTCAGAGCAAAACCCCTGCTCTGCCTTGTGAGTGGGGTGACTGGGGTGCAGGGTGCGGGGAGGCCTGGCTGTCACACAGCAGTGGCCAAGGCGGGCAGCATCTGCCACTGTCCCCTGCCTTGCCTCCTGCCCACTCAGCCTCTCTTGCTGAGCAGACCGAGGGCCTGGCCACGGAGGTCTCGGGAAGACTAGGCTGCGGCAGCAGGTGGCAAGTCAGGGCCCAGGGCCCCTCTCGCCCCGACGCTACCTCCCTGCAGACAGAGACAGGAGGCAGGCTGTGGGTCCTGCTACCCAGGGGGGCCTGCGGGGCTCAGTGAGGCTTGTCCCCATCCTGAGAAGGGACAAGGTGCTGGAAACAGACTCTGGGAAAAGAGGCTTGAAACGGCCAGAGGCTGTGGGAACAGAGGATGGAGATGGGCGGAAGCCAGACGGGGAAGCCTGTTCAGTAGCATTTCTGGTGGGGGTTGTCCAAACACTGAGCAGGGCCCGGGGGACAGCCAAGGGCAGGGGGCCCTTAGTGGACAGACAGGAGGAGGTGATGGCCGGATGCAAGGGCTGGGCTGGGCTGGGCTCCGGCTGGAGAACTGAGGACAGCCCAGAACCCTGAAATCTGCTCACTGCCAGGTGTTTGACGGGGCCGTGATCATCCTGTCCTTGGCCCCCATGGTGGCCTCTACTGTGGCCAACGGGCCCCGGAGCCCCTGGGACGCCATCAGCCTCATCATCCTGCTCCGTATCTGGAGGGTGAAGAGGGTCATTGATGGTGAGTAGCCGGAAGGACTCGGTGAGGCTGGTGGGGTGACAGGTGGCTGCTCCAAAACCAGAGCACTCAGGTGAGAGGAGAGAGACCTGCTCCCTGGAGTCATGCTGTGGCCCAGAAGGGCTGCTGCAGTGCCAGCCATCACAGCTGCATCTCAGCCTTAGGAGGCAGGAAGGGATGAGCAGAAAATCCCCAGTGACCTTTTAAATAATATATAGTCCACATACCATAAAACTTACCTGATTGAAATGCATGGTTCAGTAGTTCTTAGTATATTCATAGAGTTGTGGAAACATCACCAAAATCTACATTTAGAACATTTTTATCACTCAGAAAAAACCCAACTCCACACCCATTCGCAGTGCCCGTGCCATTCCTACACACACACGCCTCCTCGGGCCTGGGCAACCACCAGTCTACTTCCGGCTCGTACACTTGCCTTGTGGACACGTCACAGGAGCAGACTCGGAACATGGGGTCTGTTGCGTCTGCCTTTCCCCACTTGTGTGGTGTTTTCAAGGGTGACTGTGTGGTAGCGGTGTGAGCGCTTGCTTCCTCCTCTCTGCTGAGTGGCCCGCACTGGGTGGACAGGCCACCTCATCTGGTGGTGGACATGTGGGTTGTTTACACTTTGGCTGCGAACGCTCACGTACACAGTTTTGTGTGCACGTATGTTTCCATCTCTCCTAGGTGCCGAGGGGTGGGATTGCTGGGCCGTGGGGTCACAGCATTAGAACGTGGGGTTTAGCAGTTTGAAGAACTGCCAGAGCGTTTTGCGAGGTGCAGTGCACTTGACGTTCCCACCGGCAGTTCCTCACCAGCGCCCCCCAGTGGCCTCCCACAGCACCTGCATGTGCAGCACGTGCTCTTGTGGCTGCAGCAGAGGCTGCAAACTGGAGTCCTTGGTCCCAGTTTGGGGAGTTGGTCACTGTGGAAAAGGAGGGAGACAGCGTGGGCACCCCGGTCGGGATCCGGCCCTCCCCCACACAGTCTGTCAGGAACTTCACCGGAGTCAGAACCCTCGTGGGGCTGAGTGCAGGCACCGCCCCGCCCGGTCACGACCGGAGCCCAGCGGTGTCCCCAGCACCGCCTGCTCCTCATGGGCCGTCTCTGTCTCACAGCCTACGTCCTGCCTGTGAAGGTGGAGATGGAGATGGTCATCCAGCAGTACGAGAAGGCCAAGGTCATCCAGGATGAGCAGCTGGAGAGGCTGACGCAGATCTGCCAGGAGCAAGGGGTGAGCAACTGCGGCCACATCCGCTTCTGTCTGCTTCTGTCCAGGGCTCAGGCTGCTGGTGGTGCCTAAACCCGCAGGGGCCCCCAGGGCCAGAGACCTCCTGCAGCCCCTCGAGGCCCAGAGCCGGGAAACATGGCTCTAAGGTGGTTCGTGCCCAGCCAGGCTGACTCAGCCCGGACTCCTAGGCCAAGATGTCTCTGTGCCCCCAGGGACTGGTCGGCTACGGCCTGAACCAGCTGTGTCACCGGCTCGGTTCGTGAGTGTCTTGGCACGACCGTCCCTGAGACGGGCCGAATTCTGTCTGGGAGGCTGCTGGGCAGCCCACCCCCACGGTTTCCACTGCAGCCCTATCCTGAGCTCCTGGGGACCCCACATTCCTGGTTCAAGACCTCCCCACAAGGGGCCTCCTTCCTGGGGGTCTCGGCCACAGAGATTCTGCACAGGAACGAGCCAATAAATAAAGATGTGTTCCCTCCAGGTAGGGACATCTGGAAAAGAGATGAACAGAAACAAACCGAAGCACCCGAAGCAAAAAAAGCACCCGAAGCCTGTCAGATGGCGGAGTCTCAGGGGGCCCCGGGAAGCTGGGAGGGGTGGGTCAGAGCCGCCAGGCCGCTGTTCTCTCAAAGTTCCGTGGTGCCTACGCCACCGGCCTGGCCGACAGCCGCCTCCTTTTCGGTTGTGTGTTAGGATCAGGTCTGAGGCCTGACGGGGCAACAGACACCCTTGAGTAAGTGGGAGTGCAGCTCAGGAAGCGGCAGCAGCGGCTGGATGCTCGGAGAGAACGGCTCTGGGACAGCGAAGAACAGGCCTTAGGGCCAGGCAGAGGGCGAAGCCAGCCCGGGCACTTGTGCAGCTTGTAGCTCACACCGCCCTGTGGGTCTGGGCACCGACAGGACCTCTGTGGGCCATGGTCTTCCTCCTCTGAAACCTGGGTGTGACTCAGCCTGAAGCCTGGCACGTGACACGAGGTGACATATGAGAGCTGACCCTAGACAGTCTGTCCCCTGCGCCCACATACATCCATGTTCCAGATGAGAAAAACGAGGACTTCGGACTTGCCCAAGAGCGCACAGCTCATGGAGGGCACTCAGGGGCAGGAACAGAGCCAGGTGGCTTCCCTGTGAGCCCTGCCGCCCAGCCCGCCATGCGTGGGGCAGGCCCCATACCCCTCTGCACCCAGGTCACATCCCAGCGCTCAGGGACGTGCCGCCCTGCCAGAGGCACCGAGTCCCCCCGAGAGTCCCTCCAGGCCCCTGCAGGTCCCCTCTGTCACAGACACTCATCTGTCCACCTTCTGGAGTTCTCGGGGGTTCAGGGGGGCAGTTTCCAAACCAGACCCATGTCCGCTGCCCGAGGAACTGAAACTCTCCGGAGGTCGAGGAGAGGCGCAGCAGCTCAGAGTGGATGAAGCCCCCACTTGGCACTTGCCTCGCCCTATCCCGGGACGGGTCTGTGTAAATGTTGTCCCAAACATCGCTCCTCTGAGGTCTTTTTAAAATGAACTTTGTTTTTTAGAACAGTTTTAGATTTGTAGAAAAATTGCGGAGATAGTTCCCATATCCACCGCCCCCCCAACTTTCCCCACGATAACAGCTACGTTACGTTCGCGCATTGGTTACGACCAGTCAGCCGGGGCTGGGATCCCCCTCCTCCGGTCCGGGCACTGGTCAGAGTCACTTCGTGCGCACCCAGGGTCCCTCATGACGAGGGGCCCTGGCATTGCCAGGGTCCTCCTGTCTGTGACAGGTGCTCGCACAGCCCTCGTTTGCATGGACCTTGGCGGTTCGCAGGGCCGGGGCGGCGTGTAGTGAGCCGCCGCTCTGTCGGGTGTGTCTGATGCTTCTTGTGGTTCGATTGTGGTCACGGGTTCGAGGGGAAAACCACAGAGATAAAGTGCCCTTCTCGTTGCTTCACACCCAGGGTGCACCCCGTGGGTGGGACACCACTGTGGCTCTCGACGTTGGTCACTGGCTGGGGCGTGTTTGTCGGGTCTCTCCCCTGCGAAGTCACTCTGTTGTAGTCACCTCGGTTTTTCTGGGAAGCTGAGATTGCTGCTGCTTGTGGCTGGGTCACAGGGTTTGCCAGCGTCTTGCATAAATGCCTTGTCTGTCTTCTGTGCCACGTGGGCGCGCTTTTCCCACCATAGACCACGTCCTCGATGCCCTGCGCCACCTCACGTCCCGGGAAAGGCCCTCACAGGGCATCTGGCCCCCGGACTTGCAGGTGGGGGAACCCAAGGCCCAGCGGAGGGTGGAAAGAGGGTGCTTCCCCCGGGGCAGCACGGCCCCTGGGCTGCACAGGGAGGCGGACCAGGGCCTCCCTCGTCTGCCTCTTGGTCCTTAATGGCTTCCTTTTGCAAAGGGGAGCTTCCGGCCCGGTGGGGAGCCTGGGGTGGCCTGCAGGTAGCTGGCAGGCTGCTCCCTGCTGTGATGATGGAAGATGGCCCCTGGCCCCCAAACCCCACAGTCCTTCCGCGGGAAAGTGCCTTCCCGTTCGCTGCTCCTCCCCTCACCGGGGCGCAGGAGGCTAGTCACTGTGTTTCAGAGAGACGCGAGCCACCCCGTGTCCGCGGCGCTGGCGGCTGCAGAAACCCGAGCCACTGCGGCTGCAGCGGTTGCGACGGCAGGTTCTGCCCACGCGTCCTGCAGACCACGGCTGAGGCTTCGTGCAGGCCGGTCCCCGCTTCTGGCTCTGCTCTCCCAACATGTTCTCGGGTCCCCGTTGTTCCTTTGCCTGGGGAGCCTCGCAACAGCCTGCAGCCCCAGCAGTGCAGCCTGGCCCTCGGCCGGAGTCTGTTTCTCCTCCCTGCTCCGTCCTGTGGGAGGGGCAGGAGGAAGGGACGACTTCCGTCCTCAGCTCCGTCTGCCCTGAGACCCTTCGGCTGTGGGGCCCGGTCTGCAAGGAGGACGGGGGTGGCCCCGAGGGTGGCTGCGGACCGCAGGCAGGCATCAGGCCCCGAAAGGGGCGTCCTGGGTGGGCAGCAGGGATCTGACTTCAGCTCCACCAGCCATGGGCTGTCTCTCCTTAACCCCGGGGCTCAGGTCCCCAGCTGGGAACACGGAGGGAGCAAGGCGTACCTCAGGAGGACGCCACGACGGCAGAGTCCGGGAGGTGCGGTCTGGCTCACTGCCGCCCCTCAGCAAGTGGGAGCAGGGGAGGGAGAGCGCTCGGTCGTGCGTCTGGTGGTGCCCACCATGCACAGTGCACTGCCCCCACTTGTGCTCCTGGCGGCCTGGACGGCGGCCGTGGGCAGGCTCTGTGCTGCTCACGGATCCCTCTGTGGAAGGAAGGCCGGAGGCTGCAGGAGGCCGCCGGCCGCCCTGTGTCTCTCGGTTTGTTGGGGAAGGCTGGGCGGGCAGCTGGGGGGCAGCAGCATCGGCCCTCCGCCTGCAGAAGCCGGCCACCTGTGTGAGTTGCTGTCGGAGGATCGGCCAGCAGCTCAGCCAGGCGGACCCAGAGATCCTGACGTGTATGTCACCCCCTAGTGCAGGGGACAGGGGCAGGAAGGGCGGGGTGGGGTGGGAACCCTCTTCCCCACAGTGACTGGCCTCCCGCCTCCTCCCAGTTGGTGGCTTCTCCTGACCCGGGGTCCTCGGTGTTTTCTCCCTTAACCCAGGGCTGGAAGGGCGTGCAGAGCTAGGCCTGGAAGTAACGATGGCACTTCAGCCCCATTTAATGGGTGGACTCAGTTGCACAGTTACACCTGAGGCGCCAGATGCTGACAGAAGTGGGCTGTGTGCCCCAGGAGAAGTCACCCCCCACACAGTCACCCGATCCCTCAAACGCAGCCAGTGGGCTCCCCACACAGCCGCAAGGGGCGCAGTCCCATCGTTGGTCCTCCCTGTGTGAGTGCTCGTCTCCCGGCTGTTTCCTCGGGAAACGGGGGGGTCACCTGGCCCCCAGGCTGTACGCATCCCTGGTGGGGGGAGGGGGCAGCGGGTCCTGCTGCCCTGGTCAGGGACCCGGCCCATCTGCGCCGGGCATGGGCCTCACTGTGGACGCCCGGCGCCCTGAGACAAGGCTGCTGGCAAATGGCTGGCCCTTGAGGCTGGGCCTCCGTGGGTCAGGAAGAGCAGGAAAGGGGTTCTGTCTGGGCTCTGGGGTGACGCTTGCTTGATGCTGGCCCCCCCTTTTCCTGCACAGGCCAGGAGGCCCCAGCTCAGCACAGCACCCTCTGTCACCTTGATTGTTCAAGGTCTTCCCTGCGGGGTGTCAAGTGTCTTTGTTTTTGTTTTTTAAACGGGGAAGTGATTCGTACAACAGCCGATAGCTCGAGTGAAAACCCTGCCTGGCTGTTGAAATGAGCCATCACAGGACTGACTTGTTACCCTTTGGCCATAATCTAAATGTATGGCAACTGCCAGTCCTCTTCACAGTGCACGGAGAGAGCCAAGGCTGGATTCGGCTGCACCCTGCTCCTGAACCATTAGTGTGCAACTGTCTACTGATCTCTGTCGTTGCCAACCATGGCCAAAGTAATGGAAATAAACATTGGACGCCGTCCCAGCGGCAGATGGGTTGGAGGCAGGGCGGTCTGTGCAGGCAGCACTAATAGGACGGAAGACAGTGACTGCTGTTGCATTAGAGAGACATCGAGCTTCTGGCCAGAGTGCACATCGATCTCGGGCCGAGGCCGCGCCCACTGCACTCCACACACCAGACCCTTCCCGGCCGAGCCAGCAGGGTGCTGCCCCGCCGCACCCCGGCATCAAGCCCCACCCCGGCATCAAGCCCCACCCGGGGGAAGGGCTGGCTCCCTCCGGTAATGCATGCTGGGCTTCCCTGTGGAGCTGGCGGACCTCGTCACGTTATCTGATTAGGGATGCTCAGCTACCAAAGTGCATTAAGTAGGGGGGTGATGGGAAAATTCCATTTTGTCTTCAAGGCACCCCTCCCCCACCCCCCTGCCTTAACCTCCCCCCCTCCCAGAGGGGGCCCAGGCCCAGCAGGGTGTCTGGAATTTCTGGGCTAATGTTTTCCATTAGATTTGGAAAGTT